ACTCTACATCATTATCCCTATGGCATTGTCACTCTACGAAATTATCCTTTTCCTGTCTCATCTTTAGGAAAAGACAACAGAATCAACATTATCTCCTTTAGATGCCCAATTTACATGTTGTTAATCAGTAAAAGTCTGCCCCCAGGAGGTGCAGAATTAACTCCCAAGCTTTACTGTAGACATTCGATATACACCGATCATTCCCAGCACCCACATAATAATAATTTCAACAGAGTGTGATCAATCAGAGCCACKTTTAGTCCTAAGTGCAGCCAGTGCCATCTGTCTTTTGCAAAGTAGTCAAGGAACCCCTTGACTAAGGCAATGATTTAGCTTATTAACTGAGAAGACTAATGACTAAGTAACAGCTAAAATTTTAAAATGACATATTCCCCCAAAATAGGGTAATGCAATAGGGGAAAGCAGCCCAACCCAAACCATAAATACACTATGGAAATACTGAGTCATTGGGCAAAATTATGGCCCAAAATCTTCTAAACTCAATACTGAGATAACGGCTGCATGTCGGGGCGGGCAGTAGGAACCCCCAAAGTCTCTCCTTACCGAGACGACACCCATGGAGTTCATCTGACAGATGGTCCCTTTCCAGGCGTATCCCAGTTCCTTGTAGTGCTGACCACTGCAGCAGAAAAGTTGGGAGCGTTAAGGCAATATAAACCAACATTGTCTCCAGAATGGGATGCGTTGCCTGAATTTGAGTTGGAAAAGAAGAGTTTCAAGCAACATTTGCCATCCAGCCACAGAGCCAAACTTGCTTAGGCCTGAGCTCTGCAGCACCCATGGGTRCGTATCATCAATGTCTGATTTTAGTGGTATTCCTAAAAGTTAATAAGTAGGTAAGGAAACTTAGTGATTATTATGATTTCCCAGCAATTCTCGATGGGAGTGAACACAGAAAGAGGTTATACCAATAAAATGCAATTTTTCAAAATGATTTTTAAATGATTTGACAGTATAATATGTTGGATTTGAAAGAAAAATAGGCAGTAAACTTGAGGTATGCATTTTAGATTTCTTTTGCATGCATAAAGAGAAAGGAATAGTCAGAGCAGCAACAAAATGCTAGGTCTTAAAAATCAAGCGAGTGAAATAGGTGCTTTTTTGTTTGAGGTTTAACACCATCACCTTAGGAAGAAGGTTTAGCTTAAATTGAGAGTTGTAAACCAGATAACACTGAGTTTGGGTATCTRAAAATGAGTGGCTAGCATATGTGCAAAAATAAGTAGCTTAAAAGAGTTTGATTATTCTGATTTAAAGAAAAGGAAGACTGGAAAAGCAGACAGATTAATAGACTACATGCTTAAAATGCCTCTTGCAATAGAGTATGAATTAAAATCTCTGCTATAATTCCGCTTATAATAGACTATAGGCTAATAGGCTACCTGCTTTAAATCCCCTTTGTGTCAATTTCCTTGCGTACTTATTAGTGTATGGATTAATTACCAAAAACAAATAAATAAAATAAAATAAAATAAAATAAAATAAAATAAAATAAAATAAAATAAAATAAAATAAAATAAAATAAAATAAAATAAAATAAAATAAAATA